GGTGGCTCGGCTCTCCCTGATGCCGTCTCGGCCTTGAAGCGAGCACTGGGCCGGTCCCCCTGTGCTGCAGCCTGTGAGCAGGGGCCGGGCACAGCCGCGCTGCCTGAGGATGTCATCTGTAAAGTGCACTTGAAGAGCTTCGTGGAGCAGCAGGGCTTGGTGGGCTACGACCCCAATCTAGATGTCCTTCTCGGTGAGCCTCGTGTATAGCAGCTCTAGTGTGACAGCGGGGGGCGAACAGCTGCAAACAGGCCTGTTTCCTTTTTTCCTAATTGTTTTTACAGAAAATAAGGGGGTTTTAGATCCAAATTGTCTTCTCCTCTTACTCCCCTTCAGTCTGGTTTGAACCAGAAATGCAGACAGCCTGGGGCAGACTCGATGGTGCAGGATGGCGGGGGGTGGCAGACCCTCATGTCCCGCTCTGTCCTTCTTTCTTTCAGTGACGGAGGGGAAGCTGCGGTCCCTGGCTGAGCTGCAGCAAGCTGTTCTGCAGTGCACAGTGAGTAATCCTGCGGTGCTGCCTGCCTCTCACTTTCCGGATATCGTTCCCTTCTGTCACGCGATAGCATTTGAACTCCCCACTGTGCTCTGCTGCAGGCTGGAGGCCAGGGGAGCTGCTGCAGCATCGTGCATGTGGTGAACTGCGAGGAGGAATTCCAGCAGCAGCAGCTGGATCTGCTCTGGAGGATTTTGGATCCAGGAGCCCACACAGCTTTGCAGGTGAGGAAACTCCGACCCTCCTTGCTGTGGCCCCCAGCATCCTTGTGCTCAGCCAGCCTCCGTCAATCCCCGCAGCGAATGCTAAGGCCCAGCCTTGCCCCCTTGTGAGGCTTCCCTTTCCCTTGGTGGCCTCTCCACACTCTTGCCCAGGCGGTGGAGCAGCCTCTCTGCCCTTGGGATTTCAGCGCTGAAGAAGGAGGGGCAGGAGAAGGCTTCAGGGACACAGCTAGAACAGGGCTGGTTTTAGCCAGGTTCTCCTGCACTGTGTTTTGGTGGAGCTTCTGAGTCTTTGACCCCAGCCCTGGCCTCTCCTCTCTCTTTCAGAAGCACCTTGTCTGTGGGCCAGTGAAGGTGACAAACCCCTCATTGCCCATTGGGGCAGACCAGTACTTCCAGTAAGTTGGTGTGCAGCAAGGCGCCTGCTGCGCTGCTCGCCTGCCAAGGCTCCCTGTGCTCTGCCCGGCCCCGTGGGCACCCAGGCAGCCACGCTGCAGCACTGAGCGAGCTGGTGGCGCGCAGAGAGTTCTGTGTAGTCCCTCCATTCTGCTTTTCCGTGGCCTCAGGGCTGTTTCGCAAGGACTGGAGGTGCAGAACAGAGGCCACAGGGCCCTCCCCAGCCCCAGTGGCCTCCTCCAGCAGTGCTGCTTCTGGTCCTCTCAGCCAGGGGCTGCTGGAAGGAAAGGCAGCGGCAGGAGCTGGGCACCGCAGCAGTGCAGGGTGGTATCTCCCTGCCTTCAATGCATTAGCAGACAGCCCTGGGGCGGGGGCAGCCCTTTCTCAGCCAAAAGGCAGAGCTTGTGTCCAGCACAGCGGCTTGCTCGCAGCCCTCTACAGGCAGCGGCACAAGGGGCTGGCCATGGTGCGCCTGTCCCTGCCAGGCTCCTGGAGGTTTTGTACCGCTTTTGCTTGGCTGGGTCGCTGCTGCAGCTGGGATGCCCCAAGCAGCCTGAAGGCTGGAGGAGCCCTGGGGTGCTCTCTGGGGCCAGCTCAGCCCAGGGGTGGTGGCTGTGAGTGTCTGCATTCCTCTCAGGCTCCGAAAGCGCCAGATGTACGAAGCCTCAGTGATGAAGTACGGGGAGCTTGCGCAAGGTGAGGGTTTGCTCTGTGGCTCCACGTGTGGATGCTGCTCCATCCCCAACAGTCTCCGCTGCTCCCATGAGTCTCCCCCCTCACCTCTGAGTCTGCAGCCAGTGGGGCTTTCCCCCGCACGATGCTCCCTCTCCCCTCCGTGATGGAGCCAGGTGCTGACGTTGCCTGGGGGAAGGTGTCTAAATGGCCACGCGGGGCACCAGCACAGAGCAGCACCTGCAGATGGGGGCCAGGGCTGGGGAAGTGTGGTGGTCCCCAGCTTCCACCGGACCCCAGGGGGGGTTCCTGCCTGGGCGTGATAGTACATGGGAATGGAGTGAGCTGTGCATGATGCCACCTGCGTTCTCTGCAGATGAGGCCTGGACTGAGGTGATTGATGCCCTCACAGTGGCTGCCGTCAGGTTTGAGATGCTGAGCACTGCCCACCGGAGTCAGGTAGGACAGCGGTTTGCGCAGAGCGGGGGCAGGCGAGCCGTGGGAATGGTGGAGCAGCTCTGTGCCAAGCAGCCTGGACTTCTCGCTGCCATCAGATCACCCTGGACCTGGAGGACAGCAGCATCTCCACGAAGGGAACCAAGAGCGGCGCCTTCGTGATGTACAACTGTGCCCGGCTGGCCACGCTCTTCGACACCTACCAGCAGGCTGTGGAGCGGGGTGAGCCCCAGCCCCACGACCCTCCTCTAACAGCCACTCCTGGGCTGTTCCTTGCGCCTGGAGCCACAGGGGCTTCTCCAGGCACAAAAGCAGTCTCCCACCTCCTTTCCAGGCACGTACCCACCTCTGCCACCAGCATCAGAACTGAACTTCTCCTGCCTCCGGGAAGAGGCAAGTGCTGAGAGGGGAATGTGGGGACCTGCGCGCCCTCAGCTCTGGTGATGGATGCTGCTGGCCCAGGAGGATCTGGCCCTCTTTGACACACGTAATTCTTTCACAGGGTGAATGGCTCCTGCTCTTCAATCATCTCCTGCCCTTCCCTGAAGTCCTGCAGCAGGCAGCACAGCTGCCCACACCCACCAAGGGGATCCGGATCACAGCCAACACAGAGACAGTAAGTGCCATGTGCCGTAGCACCCATGGGTGCTGCTCCAACAGCCCCAGCCCAAGGCAGAGCTACATGCCAGCAGGGTGCTGCCCACCTGCGAGCGACAGAAGGGCAGTGCTGAGGGAAGAGACTGCAACGCCCCTGGGGCTGCTCCTGGGTGCTTGGGGTAGGGAGGGCCCAAGACCAGCCAGACCCCACTGTGCCAGCAGAAGCTCTCTGTCTTGCAGGTGTGCAAGTTCCTGATCCAGCTCAGCATGGATTTCAGCTCCTACTACAACCGGGTCCACGTCCTGGGGGTGAGTCGGATGTCCTGGGCCTGCAGGCTTGCGGCCCTTCCCAGGGCTGGACTGCAGCTGTGGGGCAGCCGTGTGGGGAACGGGCTCCGGGGTGCCAGCAGTGTGACGCAGCCCTGCACCAGCACCTCAAGGATGTGCATACAGAGGTGCACAGGCAGCAGTGCCTC